GTTTATTAAATGTCAACTAAGTCAAAGGTATTATAAGCCCTTTTTCATGTCTTCCAAGACAGCTTCCAAGCTGTCTCATCTTATTTATTTATATATATCTTCTTTTGATTGCTTTTTTGGTTGAGTACATCTTGATATCTCATTAGTAAGCTCTTCCTCTACTAAAAATTCAAAGTTACCTTGAGGGTAGACCACTGACCAGCTTAATCTAATTCCCAGCATGTTAAATTTTTTTAGCTTCTGACACCTCTTGGCAGCTGACACCTCTTGGCATCTCACTTTCTATTTTGTAATCTACTCATCACAAATTTCACAGGGTTAACAGTCTTTCTCTCCCACAAAATACCCTGAGAAGTAATTTCCAAGAAAAATCCTTTTTTCAGGGATTTCCTATGTTTTTATTCTATAATTGTATCACAGTGCTTTTTACATCCCACTGCATCTTTGTAGGCTGTCTCCAAAAGTTAGCCATGGTGTGATTTAGTTCCTTTTTCCTTTACCTTATTAAGATTAGTAGAGCACAGAGTGGTGTACTTAGAAATACGATAAATTATGAAAAGTGTTCATACTTTCATTAATTTATCTCAACAAGTGTTCATAACCAAATTATATATATCTGTATATATAATTATGGTATCCTAGTGACATTTTTAAGTCGGTAAATTTAAAAGTCTTTTTATGTTTTTCTATAATTTACAGCTATATAATGATGCTATAGAAAGTCAAGAAACAGGAAAGCACTTCTATCTCGGGTCAGATTTGATACATTTCTAGAAAAGTAGAAAGTAAAAGTAAAGTACTATCTTTCTTAGACGGTTTAAGGATTATATCAGGAAATGTACAGAGAATCTCTGATACACATTTCTGTTTTAAATGGCACGTAAAATGTTCTCACCTACCTGTTATTTCAAAAGTGATGGATAGGAAAGGTGCAGCACTAGACTTCGACGTACTCTGATATTTATTTTCTGAAATAACAGGGAAACAGCACCATAAGCATAGCCTTTTTTTCTTCCCCCAAAATAGCTTTGACCAAAGTGGGCTAGTTTGTGGAAACTACAGATAAACGACTGTAATTATAAATAATTTGCATTCCATTTCGAGATGGTGACTATTTTATCTCCCTGTTTCTTTGCAGAACATGGGAAAATAAGAATTCTTTGTTCATCTTTCTGTGTACCCATTCACAGTTCAACCATCCTTCCTTCCATCCATCTTTCCATTGATCTTCCAAACGTTCTGCTGGTTAATCTTATTATCTATCATCATATAGCCTCATTATCCAGGCTGTTTTTCTTAATAACCTCAAATCCCACAGACCTTATCCAGATTTCAGTGTGAATTTTTTGATAGGTTTTCTAGAAAAAAAATGTTCTAAAGTTTCCTAAAATATGTATCACGGAAAGTTTCATAATGCTTTATAACCAACACTCTTGGTTCCCCTCATTTAAAAACACATTTGATCTGTATCAACAGAAAGAATATCTTGAATTACCATAGCTAAAATCTACTTTCATTTCACTTTGAGCTCTTTAAACAATCAATTCATGTTCATGCATCCAATGATCAGCAACATTTTCATCAGCTTTCTAGCTACTGCTAACCTCCCCACGGGCAAGGCCTCTTTCTGTCATAGTCTGGTAAGGGTAGATTTCATGCCAGCATAAGCTGAACATTCTTCACAGTCTGCTGGAATTCTGATCAGCCAGCTGAACAGAAACTGTCCAGGGTTTTACTACTGACTCTTCTCAGTAGAAACTTGTCAAATCTTTCTTCTAAAGAGGTGGAAATTTTGCTCACCTGAATATTGTAGGGCAAAGGTTGTCAGGATTGGGAAGGATACCTATGGCCTGCAGCAGCACATGAATAAGATGTGGCTACTCTCCAATATCAAGTAGATATATTTTTCCTATTGTCAATAGACACTGTCACCAACTTAATAAATATTCTGATGATATAAATCAATTGACACAGGTAGGATACGAAGTTGTAAATATAATACATTATACTTTGTGACTACCTTAATAATACCCATTTTGATTTTCTGGAAATTAAATATATTAGCTCCAGGGAGGAGAATTTTTATGGTGTGGTGTGAGTCTATTAAGAGTAGTGAATATACCAATGAGTAAAGTGATTTAACACGGACCTGTACTGGTACTAAGGTGGACATTACCATTCTTCTGTGTAATGTGATGTGCCAAGAAAACAAAGGAATTTTATGTGACTTCGTAGCATTTATTTTCAGTATTTCTGTATCAGGAAATTTTATTTTGAGTTAAAGTATTTTATTTGGGGTTAAGGTATTTTTTAGTATCTTGGTTACATGTGAAAACAAGACATTTATTCATAGAACACATAGTGAGACTCTACAAAAACAACAATGTAGACTTTTTTCTTCATATTAACTACAATGTGAATTGTTCTTGGGGTAGGTTGTTCATGGTTACCCAGTCGGATTTACTTGAGAGCAGTACCTTCTTATTAGGACTGATTGAAGAAGTTATTTTGAGAACTTTTCCTCTCTTTGTAAAGTAAGCTTCATTCTTTCGTATTTATTGAAGGAAAACAGAATGTGCCCAATCCTCACAGCCCACAGCCTAATTATTCTCCACTTACACATATTTATAGTCTTTACATGTCACCCTTGGGATGCTGGCATATTGAATAAGTTTCCCCTTGGGAAATGTTAAGTGCTTCTGGGGGGAAATTCATATAGCCTCAGTTCTGAGAAAAAAAAAAAAAGCTGCAACTTTTAGGGAGAAGTAACTGTTTTTACGAAGACTATATGGGCTTATTAGTATTCTTGGTATTTGAAATGAAAGGACACAAATTCCTATATACTTATATGATAAACATTAATTTTTGGCAAATCGATTATTTTCATATCCATGGATCTTTGCTTTGACATTCGCTTTAGTCTAACAGGCACACCTTACCAATGATACTCTTTTTGTTTTCCTTTTACGCTGTGACTTTTATTTTTGGTGCTCTGCCATGCTTTGACAGACTCTACGGCAAAATGATTTAAAAAAAATACCCAGTTGCAATTCAGAATTCTGAAGGATCTTTTGAAAGTAATAACCCACAGGACATAATTGACATTCAGAAACTAAAATCTGATCTACCCTAGCAATGAAATTATACTGCTCTGAAAGGACTGCTATAATAAATCCATCTAAGAGTGTTAAAAATGTAGCCATTAAAATGGCCAAAAAAATATTAATGTACTAACATTACATGTTTTATGCTACTTCCTTACAACCTCAAGATACATTAGTAGTAAAATGTATCCCTAGGCTAGATTCTTAAATGAGTTGACATGCTACGTAAAGTTAGTGGCTACAAAACAATTAAATCTTGCAAGTTGCAAATGCAGAACTTCAGTGTTTATTTTCCATGAATTGCTGCTGGTCACGCGTACCACTCATTTTTTTGTGGGGGGGGTGGGCAGAGGAGTTGGCTCTTCTTTTGTTTTTTTGAAATACCCATTTTTCTTGGTTCTTTCCCTTCTCTTCTGGCCCTCCTTCGTCAGATTTCTTCTCTGAATATTCTCATTTTGGGTCTTTATTCTTATTCTTTTCCCTTTCCAACCAACATATTTGCTAGGAAATACTACCCTGTCCTATTTACAACTTGCCAAATACAACATACTCATCTTCCTTGGCAAGATTTCTTTTTTTGTTTTTGCTTTTCTTTAACTGTGTGCTTTAATACACACTGTCCCCTCTGCCTGCAATAAACTTCCTCTTGCATTCCTGACGCACTTACTGTATGGAATGTGTGTGTCATCACTCAGCTGTAGGCCACTTCTTCTATGTTTCTGTTTCTATGACACCCCTACAGTTATTCTAAAACTCAAGTTATAATGCATTTCATACTGTATTATAACTGTTTGTGTACCCTCATGATAACCATGAGCACTTTCCTGACACAAAATTTGTACTGATATTTCCATCCTCACCACCTTGCACAATTTTTGGAACTCTTTGGCAACTAATAGATATTTATTAAATGGTCTAATGATAAGAGCCCTGCTATCCCTCAAGTCGAGGGAAGGTAAGAAGGTCTGCTTATAACACTGTTTAAAAATATTCCTAGTTGTGGGGACTTATGAGTAACTAATTGAATACAAACTTGATCCAATAATGATTAGAATTTTAGAGTAATAGTAATATATACTAATACATACTTTAAGCATTGGCCATGTTGGACTCACTTATCCTTTGGCACACTTACCAAGTCTTCTCCTCAAATTGAGATTTAGACCAAAAAAAGTTCTAAGATACGTCCGCCAAGTCAGAGGGTTTAATCAAAGGGTTTTAAAAAAAGTCATGCCTTTGAGTTAATTTTTTTTTACCTGTAGTTGTATTCTCCATTTATTCCATTTAAATTCGCATTGAAAATTTCACTCAATGCCATCATTATTTTTTCGATACATTTATTTTTCAACCATATTATAAACAGCAAAAGGGGCTGCTCTTTCACTAGCAGGTTTTACATCTCATACAAGGAAACTCTGGACTTGAGAATACATACGAGCACTCTATGTGTCTATTTACAAGATGCTTTATTCTATTTTTATAATTAATTACTCCTGCTAAATTTTGACTCAGAGCTTATGGTCAGAAAATTTAAAGACTTGTCAGTAAATCGGAACTGACCAGAGACAGAACTGGATTAAGTTTTTTTTTACAACTGAAATTTAAATTATCGTTCACCATAGTGGATATCAACCATGAAGTGAACAGAATTATGCTCTATTCATGTTGCAAATATCTGTATCTGTATCTCTAACTCCTCTATCTCTATCTCTATCTCTATGCCCCTGCAAGGTGATTCCATGCTCAGTCTTCATGCCTAAGTACTCAAGAAGAAGAAGACATTCTAACTGGTGGAAGGTAGTATCTCAATGTGGTTTTAATTTGAATTTCCCTGATGGCTAATGATGATGAACATTTTAAAAAAAAAAAAAAAAAAAGAAGAAGAAGACAGTTTACCTTCTTTGCCCTTGTGGGTGTTTAAGTGTGAGAGGAGGTTTTCATTGGCCTGCACACAGTATACCTCTCGTGTCTGGACCCCTCCCCCACAGAGGGCTGTCTGGTTGCCCCGCCTCTTGTCCTGCTGACTGAGCAAAGGGTCCACACGGCACTCGGTCCATTCTGTAGTTCTCCAGCCATACCTAAAGAAAGAAAATGCTGGCAGTGACAACCATGTTTATTGAGTAAAACTTTGCTCTGCTCTTCCGATATTTTTTTCTGAAGAAGATTAATCTAAAAAACACTTTCCTCTCGAATCAACCATAGGCTACTACATCTGTGGTGAAGATTCAGTTTCAATTTCTTCTCCTCTATCCTCAGCAGTGCTCCATTTAAAGAGGGGTTAAATCTAGGATAATCCTGTTTTAATTGCAATTACTGGAAGTTCCTTATAAATATTTTATGAAAAGAGAGCATCATGCTGAAAACATAAAATTTTATGTTCAGTTAAGCTGAACTCGGGCTTGCCCTTTCTGGATGCTTATAAACAAAGGAGGAGTGACTCTGGGAATGGAAAACATTCTAAATGACGATCAACCCAAACATTTGTTTTGCCTTTAATAAAATGCTTGAAAATTGCTACTTCATACTGGATCAAAATTATAATTGTGTGTTGGGATTAAAAAATATAACATAACAATTCAGACTTTTCTCTTTATTGTCAAGAATGAGTGTTTTTCTGTAGCACTGAGAATCCATGATGAGTGCCTGATGGATGTTGAAAATAGCTGATGTTTCTAATCAGTGGAACACAAGAAAGATGATCTGTGGTTCTAAATTAAAGCTCCAATCAACATTATGATGTGAAAGAAATGTCAGGGGCTTGTCAGCCCAACACGTGCTTTAAGGAGAGAGCCAGGGAACCATTTCCCGATGCTGCTAAAGATAGAAAGTGATGGCATTTCTCCACCTCGAGGAAAATGGATATTCTAAAAGCACAAAGAAAATGGCTCATGTAGCACTTTGTGTCACTTTACCCAAGATGCTTCCTCAGTAATCAGATTAACAGCCAACACAGGTACAAATGGATGTGCTAATGTTCATCTCAGTTAGACAAAAAAGTTAAATGGGCCTTCATATGTTTGATCTAGGTGCGTTGTTGTGTCAGTGGTAAAGTTTCATGACAGTCAAACTGACCTTCACATCCATTTTTTTCATCTTTATAAGTGGCTGAACACAGGTGCAGGACTGGGGCAGCAAGGAAAAACACTCTTGACATATGTTTATAAAGGAAGTACGACATTCAGGTAAATTAAAAAAAAAAAAAAAAGGATAATTAATGCCCTGAGTAAGAGGGTGGGGTGGGGGTGACAAGGAAAGTAAAATCAAACAAATCATTCATCAAGGGAGTTAAAATAAAAATTTTACTTTTTACAGAATGGAGTCCAAATGTAGGCCATCCTAGGATTACACTTTTCCTATTGTGAATTGGTCACACGTGCTAAAAAACTGCTAGCCTCCAAAAAGGGAGAGAAGAAAGAGATTCAGAATATATATTTATTTTGTTAGTGGTGTTTGAATATCTCAGAAGATAAAGAATAAAACACCTAGCTTGAAGCAAAAAAGGAAGAAACTCAAAGGAGACAGAACACAGGAGGTCCTGACAACTTCCTCAAGCCTATTATGTAGAGAGGAACACAGGGTCAGTGGGACAAGCAGAGAAGTTAAGAAGGAAACTCCCTGCAGTTTTCAATCCCTTGTTATATCAGGAGAGAATAGATGAGTCCAAAGTGCTGCGCAATTGAAGGTCTCATGTAAATCATCACTATCTTTGCTATTACTTGTTATTATTGTTAGAAGTGGTAGTAGTAGGATTAATTCTCCTCCTCACTGGCTCGTGAATTTCGTGTTGTATGCATGTTCTTTAAGTGTTTCTGAATATTCCAAAAAAGCTCTCAATGAAGCTTGTGTATATCTCTGAGAAACTAAGATTCTCTAAGTTGTTTTATAAATATTCTATATTCAGACTAAGCTCAAATGTATTTATTGCCAAGATAATTCACAGTAATGTCTTGGAAATATTTTTTAAGGATAAAAAGAATTAGGATATACTGCTAAATATTTCAGAACCAGTCTTATTTCACCAGAATTCAATAAACATTTATTGGGCACTTGCTATGTGCCAGGCCCTGTGATATATGCTGGGGATAAAAAACAAAACAAAACAAAACAAGATTAATAACAATCTTGTCCTCAAGTAGCTTAAAGTCCCATTATTTTGGTGTAGTAGATATTCAACAGGATTTGTTATCTATAGTACTGAATTTTAATAGGCCTTGCTCAGTAAGCAACAGGAACCTATATTTTGAAAGTTTATTTTATGTTATAGAATGGGGGTTGACAAACTATGACCCAAGAACCAAAACCAACCCGTCCACTGTTTTTATAAATAATGGTTTATTGGAACAGATCCACTCATTTGTTTATATATGATCTCCTCCTCCAATGGTAGTTTTTAGTCACTGCCACAGAGACACCTGTTCCCCTCAAAGCCTAATATCCTATCTTCCCCTTTACAGAAGAAATTTATCAATCTCTATTACAGAAGATACATAAATAGAGAATCACCGCTAAAAACCCAGACTTCATGGAGAGTTGGAAATATAGCTTGCTAAAGACATGTTTATTCTGTAAAACCAGAATTCTTTAAGGACAGTGCTTGTAAAACTGCTATTTTATTTTTTCCCACTTAGGAGTCGTAAAAATCCCTATTTCTCAACCTACTCTTCAGTTAGTGTCACCTGGGTAAGCGAATGCGGGGAGACACGCAGTTTGGGGAGACGTCACAGCAGCAGAAGGCGCGGTCCTTATTTACTCACGTGGCACAGGGGGCAACTGCATCTCCTTGAGACGCACAGGGCTCTTTTTCTTCAAGTTCTGGACACTCTTTGTCGCTGCCAATAGGAAACTGCCTAATGATCCGTGTCCTGACACGAGTGCCTTTGGGGGACGCTGTGTCGTGGCACGTTTTTGAGCAGGGACTCCATTCTGACCACTCTGACACCTGGCATGCTTTGGTGATCACACAGGACTGGAAGGTCGTTGGCAGCTTCTCTTGCTGGCAAAAGCTGCAAAAGAACATTGGTATTCTCATCACAGACTAATAAGCAGTTAGGAACTTTGTCTTCTACACTCTAGAGTAAAATAAGCTTGGACATTTTTATTTCTACTTGGAGGTACAATTCCAATTTCATTGAAAATATATCAACATTTATGATGTGTAAAAGCAGTTAGACTCAAAGCTAACATTTGCGTTTCCTCCTATTTTGCAAGAGATGTTAAACTATTCATAGGAAATAGAAAATAAAGGGACTAAGCAAAATTAACTGAAACCAAGTTCACCATATTGTTCATTTCACTCATTCCCGGATTTGTTGTAATTTAGAAAATGTGAAACCAAGAGCTGTTAACATATAATTTTCATTGTTGAGTGATTTAAACAAACATGCCTGGCTAAATTAATACAATGCTATTTTAAATAGAAAATATAATTAAATATAAGTTTAACATTATTTTTCATATTACTTGGAAGTTTAGCTGCCACTTACAATGATAATGTATACTTATTCAAATAGATCAACTTTTCTAGTTCACACTTTAATATACAATACACATATAGGTATCTTAAAAACATCACAGACATTAGAAATATAAGTCTATTTATGTATTAAAGAATACCCTCTCAATAGATCTCCCATATTTACTTATCAGTAAAGTATTTATGTTCAAACTTGTATCTCTCTACTCCTACTTCAGTTAGAGGGATGTTGGATTCTAAACTGAAACGTATACATATGAAGATGATGTTATGAATGTCAATATGCACTTCAAGTGGTTTTCCTGGAATTGGATGGCCTTGTGTTGATTCTTAGTTGAACTCTTGCCCATTCTCAATAACCAATAGTGCATGTTTACAAGACACAGGCAGCCTGTCGCCATGATAGAGCCATCTGTTCCAGTGGGAGAACACAATGATAATTCTGTCTTGTCATTCAGGTGCTATATTTAACTATGGTAATTAACCATACCGAGAGGCAGGTCCATTCTAATGCAACGACTCACATTCAATCTTCTTAATTCTACTGGCATGTGTAGGAAAATTGCATTCCTAGGAGACAATTAGAGCTCAAAGCATCAAAGTCAATTTGTCTGAGTTGAGAGGTCTGGGAAAAAGAATCATCCGAGAATTGTGGTAAAAGGGCCCTGTGAGTCAGCTCTGTTTTTCTTATAATGACAGAGAGGATCAAAACCCAATTTTTACTCAAATGGCATGTACTGAGTATTAATAATACATTAGGTACACCACTAACTATAGAGCAAAACTTCCTCTGTAATAAGTTTTCATTCTAACATTTACGAGTTCATTCACAAAAAACAGGCAAAATAATGACCAAATCATTACCTCTATGATGCCTCTTTACAAAATTCTCCATATTTAATTTCCTCTTAGATACATTTCTTATCTTTCATGAGACTGTCTTCATATAAACATGCGTATATTGTATATGTAATACTTCCTAAGTTCATGTTCCAAGTACAGGCAGAGGGATTGACAATCCCTTTTAATCTTTTGTAGAGAATTTGACCGTCAGTTAACTACCTCTAGTTAGTTACCTTGGTAATCTGATAAAAGTTGGGAAGTCAACTATGTTACTACATCATACTACTTATGATAAAATGGCCCCCCAGGATAAAATAGCCTGCACTGGGGGAGCTACAGGTACCTGGCGGACAGCCACAGCTTTGGGCTTCCCTGAATGTGGCGACTCTTAGGACAGGGCTTGTTTTTATAGGGACCCTGCAGGCTATGACCATGGGGCTGCTTCAAGAGATACCAGCTTCTGTGGATCATGAGACTTTTAAGCCAGGACAGCTCTTAGGCCTGTCCGATGTAGAGCTTTTCCTCCTGCCTGCTGTGCTGTGTGGATTTCTATGAGAATTCCTACCAGATGAGGAACATCTGAAACTATGATCATGTCAAGTTCCTATTCTATATCCTTCTAAGCAGACTTGATGCCAAATGTGGTCTAGGGTAGTCACGTGTGTCTTGTGTATATGCAACCCAAGTTTAAGACCTCATTTGAGACTCCCAACAATCATTTTACATTATTATTATTTCCATTTTATAGGGAAGGAGTCTCCGAAAGGTTAGGGAACATGTCCAAGATCGTATAGCTAGTTAGTAGTAGACTGGAATTTGAACTCGGATTTTTAAAAATCAGAGCCCATTTTCTTAACCATTCTTCCCTACTTGTCACAATTTAAACCGTAAATCTTGGTGTGTTCGGGCAAATGCTTTAGCTGAGGCCAATGCCAAAGTTACTGGCTAATTGTCAAACTAGTATTGCTATTTCACTGCCCCAGGATTTTTACCATCCATGTACTTTGTAAATGTGCTGCTTGTCCTAAGGAGGAATTAGTGTATGGAAAAGCCAAAACAAATATATTTCCTTGATAAATGTTAATTTTCAGAGCAGGTCCTACATATGAGAAATTAGTGGCATAAACACAAAAACAGTATTAAGTTATATTAATATGTGACATATATATTATTTATCCATCAATCTATTGTCTTTCTCATAATTTTCTAATACCCCAAACAATTACTTCAACAAATGTATATTAACTCTACTTAATATTGGGCTTTGGGTACAAAAAGTTAAGAGTAGAGCAATTAGGTTGCAAGCATATCATTCTGCTTGGGGAGGCACAGAAGATTATATGAAGTAGAAGGTCACTATGGTGAATTTTAAACAATGTATTAGAATTTGTCAGATTAAGATAAAGACAATTTATGGAGATATGAAAGAAAAGAGCCATTGGCTGGTGGGGAAAACACAGATTTTTCCCTGGCCTCAATGTAAGGAGTTTGTGTTGTACACTGGAAATAGGAGTGGAATTGAAGCCTAGGTCAGATCAAGGGCAATTATGCTGATCCAGAAAGGCACTTTCTGTGGGCGAGAGCACCACTGAAAGACGTGCAGCAAAAAGGACACGATATTTGTTTCTCTTGAGACTTGGACTGAGATCTCAAAGATTTGGATGACATATCATGAGATATGGACTGAGATTTGGCGGGATTTGGATGAGATCTCATGAGATGTACATGAGACCTCAAGAGATTTGTACTGAGATCCTGTGAGAATTGGATGAGATCTCACAAGATGTATTTTATATACACTTGATGGTGAGGTAGAGGGTGGAATATTAGGATACAAGATTGGAGGCAGGGACACCATGACGATGGTTATGATGATGTCACTGACATAATATAATGCACATACCCATAAATAGAAACATATATTGAATGCTTACTATGTGCCAGGCAATGCTCAAGCTGAAAGGTATGATCATGAACATGAGATTAACTTTCACTGAATGTCAGCTATGAGCCATGTTCTGTGTTACCTAGCACATCTAATTGTAATCCTCACAAATACTGTGTAAGGTAGAAAGTCATTTATTTGTTTGTTTGTTTAAGATAAGGAAATGCAATCTAAATGTCTCCCCTAAGTCCAGCAAATAACAGAACTGGGATTCCAACTGAATCTTTCTGCTTATGCGGTTTATGAAGGTGCCAAGGTAATGGCAATAGGAATTAAAAGGAGTTACCAACTATAAGAAAAGAGGAGTTAGAAACCATGCAACCTGATGGATAGTTGAAAGGGTTAAAAGAGAAGGAGTCATTAAATAACTTGGAATTTTTTAACTTTGGCAATCTTGTGAGCAGCACTGCATATCTTTGAAATGGGAGCTTGGAATGAGAAGCAAGTTTCTGGCAGTTGATAAATGAGTTTAACATTAATGTCGTGATTTGATGTGGACATATCCAGGACATATCCAACAGGCTAACAATCAGTAGGGAGATCCAGAATTAAAGGTCAGGGTTTAGTTGAGAGTTCTGGATGGCTTGTATACTTTTAATAATCTTGAGCACATCAGAGTTGAAAGCCAAGGCAATAGGAGTATCTGAAGGCTCACACACCAGGGTACGTTTTAGGCCTTGGTAAGCCCATTTTGTGATTGTTAGTGAGACTAAATAGGGTCACCAAACAACCCATTGTTACTAAACTATTCAGCTGCCATCCTGTACCAGTCTCCTTTATTCTGGCCATGCAAAAAGTTGACCCTAAGAGGGCGCCTGGGTGGCTCAGTTGGTTAAGCGACTGCCTTCGGCTCAGGTCATGATCCTGGAGTCCTGGGATCGAGTCCCGCATCGGGCTCCCTGCTCAGCAGGGAGTCTGCTTCTCCCTCTCCCGCTCCTCCCTCTTGTGCTCTCTCTCTCTCTCTTACTCTCTCTCTCAAATAAATAAAATCTTAAAAAAAAAAAAAAGTTGACCCTAAGAGCTTAGGAAAACTACACATTCTGGTTCATTATGGTTTTCATGAGACCATGCCCCCTTTAGAATGTCCAAGGCATGGGCTATGCCTCTGCAAGGGTGCCCTGGCAGAAGATGTGATGGTCACTGTGACAGTTTCCTTCTCCTTTACGTGGTATGTTCAGGATAGCCCAGATGGCCAGGACTTAATGGAACAAAAGCTTGGCTTTGATACAGAAGCAGATGTTATTTAGTACACCTTATATCAGATAGAAAGTAATCAGATAAATATTGAAAAAAATGAAAAACTGGAGAGCACAGATATTTTTGACAGTTACTTTCAGGCTCTGATTATCCACATCTTTAACATTTTTAATGTCAGGTCAAGGTTAAAACTGATAAATTATAAGTTTCATTTTCGATAATTCAAGTTATTCAAGTTACACAAAAAGAAGAATGCAATTGAGTTCAAATATTTTTTTCCCTAAAATTATTTCTGTAGCTCATTTAATAATCATAACATCTGTGAAAATACACCTTCTTTCTAAGGGTAGTCCAATTCATCTCCTAAAATACCATTATCATTCTTTAGCTTCTTAAATAGAAACTTCTAAACACCCTCATTTTCTCGGGAGCTAGTCCCAACTTTTCATTCTGGTAAAAAAAGCTCTCCATAAGCTGTCACTGCTCCCCCTGCCCTCCCTCAGCTTGTCACTTAGCAAGAATTAACTTTCAGTCCTGCTCCCCAG